GGGGTGGGGGGGCGGGCGGGCGAAAATTAGAAGGAGGGGAAATCAGGAACGTCCGCGGTTCGGTTAGTGTTAGTTTTTTTGCGTCACAGTCGGTTGCGTTCGGTCGGTCGGGTTCCGTCGGGTGTGGCGTCGTTGTCGCGTCGTTTCGTCATTTTCGGTAGTTTTCGGAAGAGTCATTCTCTGTCGGTTCGGGTAATTTTCGGCTGCGGTGTCGCCGTTGCCGTTGACGACCTTGGAAGAGGGGGGGTTATGTGAAATGTGCTGCATGTCGCCAGTTTCGGCCCCACCGCCCAGGACATCCTTCGATACACGGTCGCTCTGAGCGTCCCGAAGCGCCACAATGACCAGCCACGTGTGGATGACTCGTGAAATATATGTTTTTGTTGACCCGCCCCTGCCGCGCACCCCGGTCCTCCTCATCTTCCTCTTCCGTCTCCTCGTTCTCCTTCGACGTGGGGTCCGCTTCAAAAGAGCTGGCCGACGAGAAGTCCCTCCTATCCCTCTTCACCTCGTCGCCTTTAGTCGGTTCGCTTCGATAATTCGACCGCCTTGCCGCCCTCCTCCTCCTCCTCCTTCTCCTCCTCCTCCTCATCATCTTCCTCCTCCTCCTTTTCCTCCTCCTCCTCCTGCTCCTCCTCCTCCTCCTCCTCCTCCTCCTCCTCCTCCTCCCCCTCGCCCTCCTCCTCCTCCTACTCGTCCTCCTCCTCGTCCTCCTCCTCCTCCTCCTCCTCCTCCTCCTCCTCCTCCTCCTCCTCCGCCTCCTCCTCCTCCTCCCCCGCCTCCGCCTCCGCCTCCGCCTCCCCTTCCTCATGTCCGCCAGCCCACTACCCCGTCATCCACTCCCACTCCTTCTCATCCTCCTTCCCAGGGTTTCCCCTCCAACCATTTCTGTTATTTCTAATTCCTCCCTGTCGCACCCCGGGGCGTGTTGGTAAGGCGGTCTGGGCGTTTCGCGTGAGATTGTTCCACCACGTATGATCATGAAGCTTGAACTTTGCTACAGCTTCACTGATGGAGGGCGGGCTGCTTTCAAAATGAGGTTCTCGCTTCAGCGCCGCGCACATTCGTTCTGAAACGTTGCAACAGTTTCACAGATGGAGGGCGGGCCGTCTTCAATAGGTTGTTCTCGTCTTACCGCCACGCACATTCGTCTGATTGATTTACAAGAGCTTCACGGATGGAAGGCGGTTCCTTTTCAAAACGTGGTTCTCGCCTTAGCGCCGCGCAAAGTCGTTTAAACGTTTGCAAAAGTTTCACGGGTGAAGGGCGGCATCTTTTCAACATGTAGTTCTCGCTTGAGCGCCGCACACATCATTCTGTAGAGCTTGCAACAAATACAAGTATTCGCATGGTAAGCGTCCCAGATACGGTATTTTGTTTGGAATAATGTAGGATTGTCACGGCGCAACAGTTGCGTTGATTCGCCGTGCTGAAGTCCCAGGAACGGCGTCTTGGCACGATTCAGCATCATCAAGACGCAACAGTAAAGTCGATTCGTGGCGTTGAAGTCCCAGGAGTGGTGCTCTGGCACGGTTCAGGATTTCCAGGTTCCAACGGGGCATTTCCTTCAGTGGAAGTGTACCCTTGTATGGACAATATGGAGATGGATCTTGGAGGCAGGGTGTATTGCAACATCGTTGAGGAGCCTTGGGTTTACCATGGTTTTCTCCTTCTCCTCCCCTCGCTCGCTCCCTCTCCTTAGTCTGCTCCCCCTCCTCCTGCTCCTCCTCCTCCCCCTCCTCCTCCACTCCTTGAAATTATCCGTAAGGGTTTCGCCCTCATGCCGCCGGCCCCCTTCTCTTAGAATGGGACTTGCCAGAGCTGTGTTGGGATGTCTGGACGCTGACGTGAAGCAATGTCGGGACTTCACGCGAGGGCCAATCTTAATTCACGACGGTTTATGATTTCGGTGGCGCGAATATTATGTAATTTACTATTGTGGTATGGCTTCGGGAGCGGGGATATTATTTAATTTAACCAGGTGTGTGGACTCGGGGACGCAAATACTGCGTAATGTACAAAGGATTACGGCTTGGGGGGCGCAAGTATTGCTTAATTCACAAAGGGTGTATAGCCTCGGGGGCGCGAATATTGTTTAAGTTGCGAGGATTTGTGGCTTCGGGTCACGCAAGTACGACGTCATTTAGAATAGTTCCTGGCCCTGGGGACGCGAATCTTGTATGATTTTCGGAGGGGGTACGGTTTCTGGGGCGCGAATATTTTGTAATCTACAAGGGTTTATGGCTTCGGGGACACGAATATTATGTAAGGTACGAGGGTTTGTGGCCTCGGGGACGCAAATATCGCGTAACCTACGGGGGAGTTTGGCTTCGGGGACGCGAACATTGTGTAATTTACTAGGGTTCATGGCTTCGGGGACGCGAATCTGGCGTAATTTACTCGGGATTATGGCCTCGGGGACGCGAGTGTCAATCAAGTATTTGCACGTGTCCCAGAATCCTCCCAGGGCGTGGTAAAAAAATGTTTGGGGCTCCCACCCCTCGCGCGGACAGCAACAATCCGCCGGCCCCCTTGCGGGGTCACCAGGCTGCAACGGTGAAGATTGCGGTTCCCTGCTCCAGTTGCAGTTTCCAGTTTCAGCTGTTCCAGTCCTGCTTTCTGCTTCCTTACTGCGAATTGTTGCTGTCCGCGCGAGGGACGGGAACCCCAAACAGGATGTTTTACCACTCCTTGGGAGGGTTCTCAGAACCCCTCGGGGGGGGAAATTTCACACCCCTCACGCAGATCGGCGGGGTCAGGGTCCAAAAACCCATAGGATTACACAATATTCGCGTCCCCGAAGCCATAAGCCGTTTTAAAGTACACCGTGTTAGCGTCCCCGAGATCATAAACCCATGTAAATTATTGATACTCGCATCCCCGAGGCAATACAGCCTTCGTAGATTACACGCAGCTCGCGCATCCGAAGCCACAAACCTTTCTGTAAGTTACGCCAGAGTCAAGCCCTCGAGGCCATAAACCTTTTTGTAAATTACACGATATTCGCGTTCCCGAAGCCATACAACCTCGTAAAGTACGCAATAATCCGTAAGGGCTTCGCCCCCTGCCGCCGGCCCCCTCTCTCGGAGAATGGGCCAGAGCTAAGTCATGAGGCTTTGGCGCTGTCGTGCAGCAGTATCGGAACTTCATGCGAGGCCGATTCGCAATCGGCAAAACCAACTGATCACAAGAGGGGTTACCACACAGGGCGATTGGTAAGACGTGTATGGTTTACGAGCTTGGTAACCACACCTTGGGATTAAAGGGCCGAGGGAGTACTCGCAGTTTGGGTTACCACGCCTTGCGATGGATGTGCGTGAGGGGTGGCACCGAATTTCAGAAATGTGGCAAATCCCTGTGTTTTTGGACCCTGACCCCGCGGATCTGCGTGAGGGGTGGCACCGAATTTCAGAAATGTGGCAAATCCCATGTGTTTTTGGACCCTGACCCCGCGGATCTGCGTGAGGGGTGGCACCGAATTTCAGAAATGTGGCAAATCCCATGTGTTTTTGGACCCTGACCCCGCGGATCTGCGTGAGGGGTGGCACCGAATTTCAGAAATGTGGCAAATCCCCTATGTTTTTGGACCCTGACCCCGCGGATCTGCGTGAGGGGTGGCACCGAATTTCAGAAATGTGGCACATCCCCTGTGTTTTTGGACCCTGACCCCGCGGATCTGCGTGAGGGGTGGCACCGAATTTCAGAAATGTGGCACATCCCCTGTGTTTTTGGACCCTGACCCCGCGGATCTGCGTGAGGGGTGTCGATTTCGAGCCCCCCCAGCAATTCAGACAACGCGCCCAGGGGGTGCTAAAAAGCCGGTTTGGGCCTCCCCCCCCCTCGCGCGGTCAATCAACCAGTTACAGTAACCAGCAATAAGTCAACTAGTTACAGTAACCAGCAAGAAGCAGAACTGTAACGCTGGAAACTACAACCTACGACTGGTACAGGAAACTGCGAATCACGGGCCTACAGCCTGGTTGCCCCACAATGGGGCCGGCGGATTGCGTCCTCGAGGCCATACACTTTTTTGTACATTACGCAACAATCGCGTCCCCGAAGCCATAAATGCTCGTAAATTCTGCAGTGCTCGCGCCCCCGAAGCCATGAAGTTTGAACAATTACACCATATTCGCGTCCCGGGGCCACCTTCGAGGCTACGATCCCGGTTTCGAGGCCCTAATCTGTATAAAATTACACGGCAGTCGCGCCGTCGGGGCCAAGACCGCCCCAAGACGGCCCAAGAAGCTTCCAGTAGAGCCCCAAAACGGCCGCAGAGGGCACCAGGACAGCTCAGGAGGCACCCAAGACAGCCCAAGATCTCCTGAGAATGGCACCAAGAGAGGTCCGAAGCGAGGGGGCCGGCGTCAGGGGGCGAAGCCCTTACGGATTGAAAGTAAGGAAGCAGAAAGCAGGATTGTAACAGTGGAAACCGGAAAGTGCAACCGGAACAGGGAGCTGCAATCCTCATCCTCGCAGCTTGGCCCCGCAAGGGGGCCAGCGGATTCTTCCCTGCCACACCCCGAGGCATGTCGGCAGAGCGGGCTAGGCTTGTCGCCTGAGACTTCTTCACCACGTATGATCTTTGAGTTGCACACTTGTGAGAGGTTTACGGATGGAGGGCCGTCTGTTTTAAACATGTGGTTCTCTCTTTAGCGCCGCGCACATTCGTTTTAACAGAAAGCAAGAGTTTCAATGATGGAGGGCGGTCCGCTTTCAAAATGTGGTTATCGCCTTAGCGCCGCGAACACCCGTTTAAACAATTGCAAGAGCTTCATGATTGGAGAGCAGGCACCTTTCAAAATGTGGCTCTCGCTTTAGCGCAGCGCGCGTTCATTCAACACGAATGCAAGAGTCTCACGGACAGAGGGCGGTTCATTATCAACATGTGGTTCTCGCTCTAGCGCCGCGCAGTTTCGTTTTCAGCGTTGGGCGAAATGTCAGCTTTTTCAGCGTTTGTT